GGTGCCGGCGCTGAGCCCGGCGCTCCCCGAGGCCTTCGGCGCGGGAAGGCTCTGCGAACAGAAGTTCTTGCTGGAGATGGGTGGAACTCATTGTTTTCCTCATTGCCATGTGCTTGTGAAGGGAAAGAAGCTTAGTAGTTAAGAAAAAAAAAATGGGAAGGAGCCACTTTGATTAGGTACTGATTTGGTCACTGTTGATTATTAATTCATTTCTGAATCGGGGAACGTGTCTTAGGGTCATCTCCTTTTTATAGCATCTTTCTAGCGCAGCTTTAGGTAGGTAGGTACAGTTACCATCTTAAGATTAAAACAGTGAAGACTTTTATTACCAATAGCGCGTGTCAGCGCGGTATCATTCAGGTCAGCAAGGCTGTGAGCAGGCAGACAAATCCTTTTCGTGTTCAGCATCTAGAACTGCATTATGCTCTTTGTATGCAGGTCGAGGGGGTGAAATTCCTGTCACTGTTAAGATACAGACCGAATTTAGCATAGATCCATTTGATGGGTTCATCACAAATAGCAGGAACCAGTTCATGCTTTGTCCAGAGCTAATACACAGCATTACAGTGCAGAGTGCATTTGTTTACTGCAGACTTAGAATTAGAGCAAAATGGAGAAATCCAGAAGCAGGTAAGCAGTAATAAGATGCTGCCTTGTTAAAGACTTTAGCTGTAATTGATTTTTGTTTTTTTAAGTTACGACATTAATTATGACATCAATAGGACAGAAGAAAGTTGAGTTATTCTATGAAGACTTACTGGTCTCTATGGAACGTTGTTAACCAGAAAGCATTCCTCTTAAAAAAGAACAAACAAACACACCAGCACCCTCCCAAACCTATCACGAAACATATGTGGGTTTACATTATCATAACATTCAAATATAAAAATGATGTTCCTGAGTTTAAGGTATTAGACTGGAATGTAAGGTATTTAGATACACTTGTTCCCCCAACCACAGACTTATTCCGTGGTTTTGGTCAGTTCTCTTATTCTTCCCATGCTTTTATTTTATAACTTTACAAGGCAGAAATGATCCTTCTTCAGCTCTTATTTTTCGTGGTTACTTGCCGTAAACTCTCATGGACTTGGGCTGTTGTCTCTACATATGTGTAGTACATAGAGTGTTTCAAATTTAGAAATAATATGTTAAAAATTACATATGCTGGAAAATCATTAAAAGCATTCATGTGTCTTAGACTTTAATATAAAACTTTTACGTGTTCTACCTGAGCTTGATTTTTTTACTACTTTGTGTTACATTGTCATTGCATATGGTCGGACCACGTTTAACTTTGGAGCAGATTCGATGGTTTTTAAGGGAATTGGGCCTAACACGTGTACAAGAACTCGTGCTGAAAGCTATTTTGTGTAAATTTAAAAGTGCCTGAAACTCTTTTCTTCAAAAGTGCATACAGTTGCCTTAACTACACATCTTGACATGAACAGAATTCTTCTGTCTGCTGGACAGGGCCCACCTCTTTCATAAAACATTCAAATAATATTTTATACAAGAACAAGAATTTCTATCTCACACAAAATATAGGCCTTGTTTTTTCTCATTAGCTTTATTTTAGCTCCTTGCAGCTTGCCAGAACAAGCCGAAAATACTGTAATTCCTCGAATGAGATTTTTTTTATGGGGGTGGTGGTATTTGGATTTTGGTTGTTTGTTGTTTGTTGGTTTATCGTCCCCCCCCCCGCCCTCTCCCCCCAATGATCTGTTGTTAGTACTGTGAGTGGTTATTCAGCTGAATTCCTGAAACTTGGTAGCGTGGATTGTTCCCATAACTTTGTGGAGCCAACATTTTTTCCTGGCTGCAGCCATGTTTTTTTCCTAGTTCAGTTCAGGGGATTGTTGGGGTGAGACTTCAGACTGTCCTCTTCTGTTGCCTGTTACGGATTTCAAGAATGTGTTTGTGGTTCTAGTGTGCAAATTGTCAGGGTGGTGGCAGTGTTTGTTTTGGGAAAGAAGCTTCAGTACAACCGGTTCATTTTTTTTTGTTTTGTCTGGTTAGATTTTTTTATTATTCTTGTTTTCAGAAAATTACTGAGACAAAATACTTACAATTCATAGAAAGATACTTGTTATTTTTCAGATTAGAGCTACATGTGAAAGTGAACTGTATGCCTAATTCTGCTTTTTAATGATGAATATGTAAAAACAGGAAGGGATTTTTAGGTTTTTAGAGAAGAAATACATTTAATTAAAATATGAGCAAAACTATGAAAGAGTTCCTTGTAGAAGAAGTGTATATGTAAGTGCATTTCATGTTGAAATGGGAAATTCTCCCTTCAGTTCCCTAGTCCTCAAGAGGGTTTTTCAGCAATAGACAGAGTATCTTGATATGTTCGAGAGTAAAAGGCGGAAGAACACATTCAGATCTTCTCTGTAAGGGCACACTGTACGTACACACATGGGAGGGGAAGCACGAATGCATTTTAGTGCTTTTTCATTTCAACTTAAGAGGAGAAAGGAATTGTTTGTGACGTGATTGCACTGAACTGTGTCTTCCTGCTTGTCTTGGGGAAACAACCTGAAAATTCCAGAGAGTGAAAAATGCCTGATAAATACGCGATAGATGTGTTTTAGCATCTTGTAGCTGTCAACTTCTATATGTGAGTGCACACCTTTGTTATAGATTAATTTATTGAAATAATGCGGCGTCTTTGCAGTTAATGTAGCTCTAAACAAAATGTTTCTGCTTTCCTTTGAAGTTCAAAATATATGAAGATGCATGAAATCCAAGAACTACCCAGGCGTCTGATGCATGCAACTGGGCAATATATTGCTCCCCAGTCTGCCAGACATCAATTGCAGGGCAGAAGTCATGACAGTCTGGATCAAGTAGGGGATACCTGGCATCAAGGAAGAAGGTTGAAAGAATTCCAAATCAGGTGATCAGTACAAAACATAATTTTCACTGAGTAGAGCAGGGGGATCAGACCTAAAGGAGTCAAGATGTCTTGTGGTAACTTGAGGGTGTGCATTGGCACAGTCAGATTTCGTATATTTTTGATTTGATGTAAAATTAGAAAATGGCTATTTAACAATATGCTTGACAGGGGACTGCCAGATGTAATGATTTAGTCTTGCCTTCCTCTTGTGTTTCCTTACTTTTGTTTGTTGAAGGAATCTTGACAAAAGTGGGATGATAATTGTTTAGAGATTAAAAGGCTAATATCAGTCAAACCAGTGGGACTGATCTAGCAACTCAGACTTGCTGGAAGAGGGAGGTCCTGTTCCTGGCTGTGTGCTGTAGTTAATTACCTTGTGCTGGCTTTGGTGCTTATTGGGGCCCTCTGTGAGCCAATTAACTCTTAATTCCATTTGGAAAAGAGGGTGATAATGTGACAATCACAGATTAGTGAGTTGAACTTCTACTAGGAGAAGCTTGCTGCTGAGCGGAACTGCTGTGGGGGAGGTAGGAAGAAGGAAGGTCTGCTGGTTTCAGGGCTAAACAATAGATTGGCTCAAGTATTCTGGAAACAAGTCTGACTTACCTGGTTGACTTCAGGGAAACAGTGGTATTATCGCGTCTAAATCACAGAAAGGCTCCCCAGTTAATCAGCAGCCTGCTCATTAGTATCACTGGGTGTAAGTGGGCTGCTTGGAGGACACTTCAGCTGCCTAGGTTTCCTGAACAAGTGTGTCCCAATTCAAGTCTTGCAATGTTGCATGGGCCTCTGTTTATGCTTGGTGAATGTTTCGTGTATGCGTTGATCTCTGTTAAACCAGACCCTTAGTTTTATTACTGAAACTCGTGTACAAGTTCCTATTTTTACTGCTGCCCAGGAATTAGCAGAGGAAGAGTACTAAGAGAACTAACCTTTCCTTATATTCCAGATATCTAGCAAGGAAATTCTTCTGTCTGTGGGCAAAAAAGACATTTGGACAAGTTCTCCCTTCCAAAGCCAGGTAGATAAAGTTCCAGAAATCAAAGGTGTTTGGTTTGGGTGTTTTTTGTGGTTTTTTTTTGTTTGTTTTTTTGTTTTTTTGTTTTTTTAATGTGATTTAGTGCTCTGCCATTGGGCTAAGAGAGTACTGGCTGCCAAGAAAACATTTGGATGTGTTTTGAGATCATTTGAAGGTTTCTTTGAATACCTTTCTTGCTCCTGCTTTTTGTTGGTTTTTAATAATCGTGATTAAACTTTACTAACTAATTTCGTAGGGATTGTGGTTGTCTTGTTGAAGTTGAACCATACGTGCATGGGGTATGACTGTGATACCTGCTTTAAATTTAACTGGTTTTCAAAGTTATAAGTAGAGATAGATCTTGAAATTAATTTCATTTTACTGTTTGCACTGTTGTTCCTAATGTATTTCTATATATGCTTTGTATCTGTCTGACACTGAAATACCTGTGACAGATAATTCGTTTCTGTTGTTAGTGTTCTGTCAGCTACTGAATACCAACACTTTGATACTCTTTTCTTGTTTTGCTTTAATTTGCATGTTCATTCTTGTTTGACCGCACCCTTGGGAACTGAAGCAGTTCCCAGGGGAAAGACCTGCATTTGTTACAGTCAGAGTAAGATCGGGCCTTTAGTTATCCGATTTCATTGTCCTGTATCAAATACATTCTGACGATGTCTGCCTTCGTTGGTGAATGGAAGTTGTCCTGTGAACCTTAACGTTCTTGCTATCCCGTAATACTGAATTTGCACTACTTCGGCCATGTGTAAATTCAGGACAATGGTTATTTTATTGTTTTAGGAGGATGAGTGGAAATACATTTTATAAAGTTCAGCAAGGAACATAAGCAATAATTAATTGCCTTTTTAGATTTAAGAGTCCCCAGTTCTCCATAGCTTTTATTTGCAATGTTCTGTCAGTGCACAAAGTCCAAAAAATTCATGTATAGCTCATTTATTTTTTCTTTTTCTTTTCTGCTTGAGTGCTTGGAATGACTTGGCTTGGGGTAGGTAGCTATGAATTGCAATTTGTGTGAGGATTCATGTGTGTCTCACTGAGGGACCTATAGATATTCTGGGCCTAATCCTGTTGTTATTGCAGACATGACCAATTTTATTAAGCCAGTGGGATAGTTGTGACTGAAGTTTCTGAGTTTGGGCTTATGTGTTTTATGTTTGTTAGCTGTTATCCTTCTCTCCATCAGAAATGCAAAGAGATGAGAAATTCGTCCTGCAGTTGATAAGACTTTCTGGTTCTTAGGCTGCTGCCCAGGTCATCTTGACCACATGGAAGAATGTTTGAGAGAGTATTTAAAAAAAAAAAATAAAAAAAATTGCTTGAAATGGTAGATTATGACCATTATTTTTAGTTAGGTGATCAAAATCCTAATTCCCTCATGCAGACCCTTCTATGTCTGAATTTTTAATTGTTCACAATTCAGTTGAAATGTAGTGTCACTTCTTACCTGGTCACATGTGTGTTAATTAAATGTGGATATAAAAGTAGAGACTGTTCTGCTGAGGTTAAAGAATTTGAAGGTCATATGTGACTTGTGAATACATTTTGTGCATGTTTTCGCATCCACCGGAAGGAGAAGGTATATGAGCAGATGAACAGCTTCATTTTTAGGATAGACGATGTGCAACTTCCTGGACACTGTTTAAGTGTTATTTGGGAAGGTTTTAAATTTGGGATGACTTAAGATCAGCGTGCTGTTTCTAAGAACACAATGGAAATATCAAAGCATCATAAAATGTGAAGTAGCTTTGGTATTTGTTTTTATACATAAAAAATATTTTGTGTTAAAAAAGAACAGAATTAGCAAGGCAAATACACGTATTGTTATCAACTGAGCGGGTTGTTTGAGTAAAACGCAGAACTGAAGACAGAAGATGTAAGTTTTTTATAGGTCTGAAGTCAACTGGCACTCCGCTATTTGGCAAGTCAGTTAACAGCATCTGTTTTGCCTTCCATGACTCTATGTGAAGTATTTACAGTCAGTAAGCTGGTTGCTTCTTGTCATGCTTCAGAGAGTCTTGGAATAAAGTGCCGTGGTGGGGTAGTGGTTTTTAAATGCAATTAGATGCTGTTAATCTAATCAGACAAGACTGGAAAAGAGGTAGCATAATCTTCTTGAAAACTGATTTGTGATCAACGTGGATTCTTGTATGAAGTTTCCCATGTCCAGATCTTTCAACTGTTTAGATGCTTTTATGACCACAAGATTCTTCAAAAAACTTTTGGAGAGTGGAAGGAGTGGCGGACAGCTTGCAGAGAAAGGAAGCTAGGCCTCAGAGCAGACAGCCATTACAGGTTTGTGAAATGACTTCCTGTTAGTGGGTGTATATAGCAGTAAGAAATTTTCCTTAGGTTCTGAAGGATTTGTTAATACCAATAAGCAAGCATCATTAACAGTACCTCTCGGCCAAGAGCGATGTCTTCATTGCTTATTGTCATTATTTTTCTCCCTTCCACCCCCCCCCTTTTGTTTTTTTGTCATTGTCTCAGGATGCAGTAAAAATTTCCTATCCAATACATCTTTAGAGTGCAACTGAACTTGAAAGAATCCCGCTTCTAGGCATTGGAAGCTATTTCACAGAATGGCGCTTTTTTAATTTTTCAGGCATGTACTCCATAGTTTGATATTCAAGGCTTGGAAAGCCTACGTATGCGAACAACAAGGAAAGAGGAAGAAATATGACGTTGCAGAGTCTCACGGTAAGTGTCGAAGTGATGGTAACTACCTTTATTTGGGGACGTGTTGAGATGGGCGTTTCCAAGGGGAAACATTTGCACAGAATCTCTGTCCCTTGCACACGTTTGCGCATTGGCCTCCCCCAGACTATGGAACTGTAATGCTTTTAGGTACAGATGGTTGTCTGTCTAAAGCTGGGCGGGGGGGCCATTTGGTGCACTGCTGTGTAGCTATATAGTTATTTAGGGATGCCAGTGAATAAGCTTAAGGGCCTCTCCATCTGCTCTGAATCGTGTTGTTTGTTTTTTGGGGGGTGGTTTGGTTGGGGTTTTTGTGTGGGTTTGGTTTTCTTGTGCTGTTTTGTGTTGTGTTTTTTTTTTTTACTTTATCACAGTATGTGTTCAACTAGATTTTTTTTTTTTTATAGAATGTGTTACTAGAATTCTCTGTCCACTGTGGCTATAGAAATTAGATATTAATTCCCTGTGTTATTGACTGCACATATTTTATCTGTATTCACTACTCCTTCCAGCGTGTGTCTTGCAACTGAAAGAAGCCCAAACTTTTGAAGTGCCCGTTGTCTTATGTAGCTTCTTTGTTCTGCGACGGATTTGTCCTACTGATCCTACTGTCTGTATCAGTTGCCACTTCCTTTGGTTTCAGGGAATATCTGTTTCCCCGAAGGGGAGGATGACCCTCTTTTACTGATGATACTGTGGTTTTGTTCTGTGCTGATTTGCAAAATAAGTTGACTGGTCTCTTTGCATATGAGTGTAGCCTCGGAATATTATAGAGACTTGCACCTTTGGAATCAAATTGATCGGCTATCTGGATTTCCTTTCTTATTGAGTGAGGCCAGAGTACTTACAGAAGCAGCTGTGTGTTACTTAGTCAAAAAGACAGGAAAGTGACGTGGTTTAAGGTAGGTTAATACTTAATTCACCAGATCATAAGGAAATCTGAAAAAAAAAAATTGTGAAGAGGCATAAAATCAGTGATGTTTTTTCTGATAACTGTGCTTCAATAGTGTCAGTTCTGACAAGCCAGACTGTTGTGAGGAGAAAGTGCAGTGCACTGCATAATGTGGTAAACTGGAATTTGTGACACCATTTCTGTTTTTAGCTGCATGACCAGCCTGCTAAGTAAGCTTGACTTGTTTCTGGTTGATTTCTCTGCTTGCAATAGAGAATAACTCTTGAAAAGCTACTGATGAACCTGATGAACTTTTTTTTTTTAAACAAACCAATGAAAATCCTGTAATTCTTACCCAATAAGGTTGTTACGCTGAATATTGTTATACAATTATATACCCTGTAAGCACTGAAGACAAAGCAGTGCCATTGTCTGGTGGTTCACACTGCTCTGAGCAAGTGGCATGGTGCTGTCAGCGTTTCAGAGATCCCTGTCAGTGTGACACCCTCAGCCAGGGTGGGCCGCCGTGGCTGCGGCTCTGCAGGCTGTTTCAGGGGTTCCCACGCGGTGTCACTGCAGGTTGAGGGGCTGGAGGTCAGGGACAAGTGGTGTAACGGAGTGGTTAAAAAATGCCAAATTCTTACATGAACTTAAGATGCTGTAATTTTTTGTGTTGTGCACAGCAAAGAAGCAAAAATTGCTCAGGACCTGGCAGCGCTGGCTGGTTTATGTTGATGTTCGAAGGACAAAACATGGGATGCAGGCTGTGGCACTGGCATTCAGGGAAAGAAGCTGTTTGCGGTAAGAATGGAGTGGAAACAGGCAGAGAGGCACAGACTATAAGGCCATGTTTTTTACCTGTGCTCTGTTATCTTTTCCTAAGATGACTTTGTTCCCCCATTGTTTTTTTTGGGGGGGGAGGGGGATGGGGTGGGGTGTGGAGTGTGTTTCTAAATTCTTCTGGTACGCCCACAGACTGTGAATTTGTTGTTCATACATTTTGCCAGTGAGAGGAAGGTGATTTTTTTGCACCAAACTACGGAACCTGCGTTTGTACATGTCTGTAACGTTGTTTTGGCAGCATTTCGTGGGCAGTGTGGAGAAGACAACACTACCAGAACTGCACTGGACACAAAATGAATGTTTTGGCTCTGCAGCACTGGGCCCAGAGCCTACAATTTCGAGTAAGTCCCAGGAGCTCCAGCTGCTACCATTTCTAATGCTTAAGTTGCATGCACTTGTGACTAATATGTTGCAGATTAATAAAAAATAGGCCTTATACTAATGTGCTTTGCAAATTGCGATGCTTGTGATAGAAGAGGACTAGAGGAAATGGACTAGGACATGAGGAAATGGAATGAAGCTGTGTCAGGGGATGTTCAGACTGGACATTAGGAAAAGGTTCTTCTCTGCAAGGGTCATCGGTCACTGAACAGGCTCACCAGGGAAGTGGTCCCAGCACCAAGCCTGTCAGTGTTCAAGTAGCATCTGGACAACACTTAGTCATATGGTTTAGTTTTAGGTAGTCCTGCAAGGAGGAGGGAGTGGGACTCGGTGATCCTTGTAGGTCCCTTCCAACTTGAGATATTCTGTGAAGAAGGCCAAAACAATTTTTTTACAAGAAAAAATTCTTAACAAGAAATCTAGGCAAAGCAAACTGGATCCATGTCTTGTATTTGCTGGGAAGCGGACTGACCAAAGGAATTATTACTGTCTTAGGCAATGTTTCATGATAGTGAAAATATCAGAGTTCTCTCGGGCAGAGACCTAGCCACAGGTAAATAAGAGGTAAAAGGAAACAGGTATGTGAGTTTGGAGCTGTGGCATTTTGAGCAGGGTGTTGATGGGTAATTGCATGCAGCTCTCTAGAGCGCTGAACTCCACAGAGGTCCAGTCTGCTGTCCCGTTAGGAGACAAGATAGCACCAGTCAGCTGTCTGACAGCACCTTGCTTCTTTGTGAGACAGTGTTCATGTCCTGATGCATTTTTGTAAGTGTCTTTATCTCCATTTGGGGGTAAGAAAATACAGTACAAGCATTTCATATTCTGGAGAGTTTGTCAGTTCCTTCAGTAAGTTGCTCATCTTAGCTGAAGTGACAACAGCATGGTCTTCTGTCTTTCACTGGAACTGTGGCTTTTTGTCCGTATCATTAAAAACAGGTGATGGTGTTTAATTCAGCCTTCACTGTAAGATGGCAACACTGCCTGTTTGAGGTCAGTATGCTACTGAGGAGATAAACTTGTGACTTGGGAAATCTTATACCTCAAGATGCGATTCTCTTGTATATGAAAATACTCCGTCTGAAAGAAAGCCTGTTGTCCAAAGTATTATTTTGACCTTTTAATGGAAAAAGTGTGAAAGTAATCAAAAAAAGGAAAAAAGAAGTTAAATATTGACGTTCTTTGACCTTTTCTGTGCTGACATTCGTTTCGCATTTGTTTGTTTATTTTTGTTTGTTGGGATTTTTTCCCCTCTTGTAGGGAGGAACCTCATTGCTCATGGCTTTCACCTTTAGATTTTACATGGAATTTCCTGTTGCCTGTGTATTCTTTGTGTTCTTTTTGTTCTACTTCCTTAATTTTGTCTGTTTTTTTTCCCCTTTCTGCACTCCCTCCTCAATCGTTCTGTCAGGCTTGGTTGCAGTGGCGAGAGCTATATTTATACAGCCAGAATGATAAGCAGAAGGAGAGTAGGGCAGTAACCCACCATCAGCACTGGGAACTGAAGAGATGCATGGAAACGTGGCTGGGATACTTAAACCTCCACAGAGCAAAGAAACATCAGAATGGTGAGTTGGGACAGAACAGGGCTCAGCCCCTTTGCTTAGGGCACAGTGATGTTTTTGTCTATGCTAGGAGACGCTGCAATGTTTCTGCTTGCTCAACAGATGATGAGACACAACTTGGACTGTACACTGTCACCGGCCTGGCTAGCTAAGGCTGTATACTGAACTGTCAGGAAGATCACCTGCTTTCCGTGTGATTTCAAAGAAAATGCTTTGTGCTTCCCTTGACGAAAGCTTGTGCATTGCATATTATGTTCTGACTGAGGTATCTTGAGAAGGATGTATTCAGGACTATTAGTGGTCAATCTGTGTGTGGATTTTCTTGATAATCAGAAAATCACAACTCATACAGACAATTACACTGGTTCTTGTGTTTCTTCCCCTGAAGTCTCTGGAATAAGTTCAGACATTTGTGTGATCCGGCTATTGATCGGTGGTAGTGAAAAGAGTCCAGCTTGGGTATCGGGGAACTAGTAGGAGCATGGTGAAATGTAAGCAAGCTTGTGTATGTCCAACAAGTGATGCAGTGTCTTAACTTACCCTTCTTAAGTCAGTATAATATGTTACTGCTTTAAAACTGCCATTGTGAGCAATAGGAAGAGTATGGTCCATAGCTGAGTGTTACTGTGAATTCTTACCACCATTTTTCAGTGTTAAAGCTTCTGTCACTTCAGAACCAGTGGCTTAAATGCCGTGGCCTCATCTGATATAAATGAGCCCAGGATGGAACAAGTCATGAGTAATTTGTGTGTTTGTTTTCTAGAGCTGGCCCAAGAGCATCACCGAAGCAGGATAGTCCGGCAGTGTTTCTCTGATTGGCGGCTGTCATGGGAATGCAGGAGAAGAATGCGTGCTCACCAAAAGGACGTTGAAAAACTAGCAGCAAGGATTGCCTTATGGAGAGTCTTTGCGCACTGGAAGCATTGTATCCAATCTGTATTTAGTCCTTAATGGGGAGAACATGTTATTAATAAAAAGATGTGTGTAAGGCCATACTAATAATTAATAAAACTGTTGCAATTACAGCATGTTAGCATGTTGAGAGCTAAGAGCCTGCAGAAGATAATTTAAGGTTGGCAAGGAATTCCTTACTTAACAGTGACTCAGAAATGTGTTGTGGTAAGCCAGCAAAATCTAAAAACTTGACTGTAATCAAAACTTGGGCAGATAACAGTGCTGGAAATTCAAATACTGAAGGAAATTGAGATGGAGATTTAGTGCCCCTCTGTGGAGAAGGTTGTGTATCTACCAGGCTGGGTGGTGGTGTGTGGAAGATACTTTAACTCAGTGACAGATGTTGTACTGTGTGTGGAAGAGACTCGACAGCGTGAGCTGGCTGAAAAGCACTACAAGCATCATCTTTTGGTAAGAGCACTGTTTTGTGTCAGGTGGAAGAGGCTGTGGAGAGAATTCGAGTACTTCTGACTGGCAGTGTGCCTTTAACAGTGGTGTGGGGGTTGCACCATTTTCTGCCATGGTGAGTGTGGATCAGGCATCAGGTTTCTAAATTCCAACTATTCTGGAATCTGCTGGCTGAATCCAAATGCGGAAGCTGCTCTCCAAAATAGTTATTCTTCCAGTTGGGAAACTGGTGAAGTAGCAGATTAATTTTGATGATATTGGGCTACCATCGTGCTGCCTGGCCATTTCACCATGAGATTGCATTTTCCCCTTGGTCTTCCCTGATTTTTTTTTTTCTTCTTCTCACCTCTACCCTAAATGTTTCTGTCTGCGCACACTGTTCTGCTACAAGAATTATTTGCATACGTGCTTCTTTTCATGTGAGTCGAAAGCTAGCTTGTTGCAGGTGTAGGTAGTTGAGTGAGTGGTTTGGGTTTTTTTTGTTGCTTTTGTTTTGGTTTTGTGGTTTTTTGTTTATTTGTTTTTAAAAACAAAGAGGACAGTCCTCATTGAGGACTGTCTGAAAGGCGGGCACAAGCTCCAGCTTCTTTGGAACTGACTTATTTTCAAGTGTGGATCAGTACCGATCATCAAAAGAATGGCAATAAACCCATCTGGATCATAGATTGAAAACATTAGTGACTATAAGAGCACTTTAAGGCATGATGCTTTCATAATGTTATTTACCACGTTCATCCCCGAGTCAATGCATTGTGGGATTGTTGACCTTGTGCAGAGGAGAGCTAAGAGGGAAGTGGATCTTTTCTGTTTTTGATAAAGAGCAAGTTGTTAATCTTGAACTGAAGGAGGAGAGAGACTGGGAAAGGACTTGGGTAGTGGTGTTGATAGCTGACTAAGGAGTTAGATGTCTTGCAATAAAACCCTGGGAATTTTAGTTTAGCTGGAGAAGTGACAATTTGTGAGAAGAAATTGATGCATGGCTTTGATGACAAGATCATGAATCTTAGCTATTGCAAGGAGTAGCATCACACATAGACTGTAAGAAGCAGCCAGTTCTAAACTTACCAGTGCTTGCTGGTTTGGATTATGTGAAGGTTATGTACGTTTCTTGTTGTTACAGAAACTTGGGTTTAAGGGTCTTTGGCAGAATGTCATAAACACTCATCTTCAGCAAATGAGAAAAAATCTGTCATACCGTCATCATCAAGTTACAGTGAGTTTGACGTTTTTTTATTCTTCTGTTAGTTTTTCTTGAGCTGTCCTATTGGCTTCCACTTTCACCTACAAAATACTTTTTAATTAAATCAGCAGCTTTGTTCCTAAATACCAATAGTCACAGAAAATCTCCTGTGTAAGTCAACTGTCAGTCGTAGATACGTTATTTTAGTTTTTGGTTTTCCTATGTTATGGTGATTTTTTTTTTCTTTTAGCAGAAAAATTCATAGCAGGTTATAAACCAAGTTTGGTATGTGAAGAAGTGCAGGAGTCAACCATTGCAGCATGCATTTTTAATAGAACATTTAATAATTTCTTTCTTTGCATTCTTCTCCTCCCTTGATATCTATGTTTTGTCATGTCTTTTTTGTTCTGTTTCAGGTGCTGCAGAAGTTTTGGAACCACTGGAAGTCCCGTTTGGAAGAGAAAGAGGAAGAACAGCAGCGGGCCTTAACATCAGTGGCTCATGCCCATTATAGGTACACAGAGAAATATTAATGTAAATTTGTACAAATGTGGGATTTGTGGACCTTTGGTTCTCTTAAAATTTGATCATACCTTTGGGTGCATGACCATCTTGATGCCGATTGCTCTTATGTTTTCTGTGAGTAATGGGCAATCTGCATCTCCTGCTTCTCTGTGAAATGCGAGCAGGAGGTTGGTGCAGCCTAGCTCTGAGACGTGTAGATTTAAGAGCTGGACATTGTGCTGGTACGAGCAGTAGGTTGCAGCATGAGAATGGACAAAGCTCAAAATGCTCACTGCTGCTTTACTCTGAGGAGGAGCAGGGGGAGTTGATGGCTCATGTATGCTACCTCTGCTGCTAGAGGTATTGTAAGAGGGAATGTAAGGCACTTTTGTAGAAGCTAAATTTACTTAGTCCTAGGAATAAGTCAACTTTAACAAAGCAGGCAGAAGGCTTTTAAATTTGACCTTTGGAGTTTGGTGGGGAGTACATGTTTGCTGTGGTGAAGTTGCAAGTGTATATATTTGATTCTTACACTTCCTCTGACTGTTGGTCCTTAATGCTCCTTTCAGTTGGTTCCAAAATTGCAGGACATGCAAATACTCTTAAAATTCATTGCCTTAGAACTTTCTTGACTTGGGGGTGAAGCTTAGTAGGAGACAGACCTCTGCAAGATGGGTCTGTGCTAGTCAGTGCAGCATGCTGTACTCCACAGCGCTCAGATCCTGGGGCTGGAGCTCAACTGGAAACACTCCAACCACGATATTACGGTGTTGCTCTCAAACAGATGAAACCTTTTGAGATGTCACCATGTTATCATATCAGCGCAATGAGCCACATAGAGTTGCTTGGTTTAAATTAGATGCAGGGTACTAAGGGAAGGAAGGGAAGCTTCATTCTGCCTTGTAAGCTTATTTATGTTCGTTCTCAGCACAGTCTGCATTCATAGAGACATTTAAATTTACTACAGCTCAGAGAACTACCTTGTGGACTAAACAGTATCTTCCACTCAATAAAATTTTTGTCATTTCTTCTAATCCTCCCAGCAGAGTTTTGCTTGAAGTATTAACATTTTCTTGACTGAGAGAGGCTAATACTACGAGTGACTGATATACTTGCTACTGAGTTAGAGTTGATTCTTGTTTTATTTTCAGGGCATAATTATTGCACAGATATCTCTAACTGCCTGATGTCTTGGCATCAGGATCACTTTGTTTTTGCTCAGAGGTTACTGAAGAAATAAGAAACATTACTGTGGTTACCTATCTTACAGTCAGTTGCAGTATGGGCAGTTGGATTCAATACAAAACAAGATATGCCTGTAAGGTTTCATTTTGCCTCCAAGGCCCACGTGGAACTCATAGCAAAAGAATTCAGACTCTCAATGATAAAACTGGTTGTTTCACAGCTGCAGTCATACCAAAATAAATCCATTACCACTGCTGGTGTTAGTCTAATTTCAGTTTACAGTGTGAAATTGAGTGAAATCACTGGGAGTCTTTCTGTAGAGGTGCTTGGCATTTTTGTTGTCTGTTAACATAAATGGATGCTATGAGTTCTCATCCCTGCTTAAAATTCAACCACTAGTCTTTGTCTCAGGGTAATGATCTACCTCATTAATTACTTTTATTGGCATATTATGGGGTCACAGACACGCACAGGAGTTATAAGAGTGTGTACTTGTTCATTGTGGAAATCAGAGGGGGGCAAATACCAATCGAGAGGGGGAAAAAAAGTGTATTTGCTTTTTTTGAGATGCCTTAAAGGCCTTGCCTGGGCTTGTATTCTTACCTATGAATTCAGTGCAGACTCTTCAGGTAGGGTTGTGATTTATGATGCTATTAAAAACTATTTCCCATTTTCTGTGTTAGAAGACTAACGAAATAAGAATTTGCTTTTCTTGGAAAAGGGTACGTTTGGAAATATGCTTTTACAATGAGTGCCCTCCTGGGACACTTTTTTCTGTGTAAGGTGAGAGAAAAAAATGGTTTTAAAAATTGAATCTTCTTTCCTAGCAGACTTGGGACCTTGCATCTTTTGTTGGCAGAGGATGGTTGCACCCTGTGTTCTAGATTCATACCTTTCTGTCGTCAGAAGCCTGGCTTCACAGTTGAAAAACAAGCTGCAGAAAGTCTGTTTTGCCTTGGATATCGGTTTGCTTTTTGGGAGATTCACAAATAGGTTTGGAGGGCAGGCTGAGTAATGAGGGCAGCTGCACTTCTGTGAGCAATTAGGACTTTTTCCAACTGGTGTGAGTGCAGCTGTGGTGCGTTAGCTTACCCTCCGGAGACAAGGAGAGAGAAAAGGTTCAAAGATTTAGGAGCTGGAGCTTAGTGCAGATGAGTTGGAGCATGCAACTGCTGCAGTGTAACTTATGCCTCCCTCACCAGGGAAAGGGTGAACAGACGGTTTGAAGGTTCTCGTTGGTTCTGTAGCCATAGCTTGATTCCATGAGTCGGGAATGTTTTTGTGTGCAATCTTTTCTCTTTCGAGAGACTGTAAATGCAGCCCTATTTCCTGGACACAAAAGAACAAATTGTTAGAATTGTGTTCCTTGTTCAGAGGTCCGGGCTGCTTTCCAGCCAGACCTAGGTAAAACTTTCATGGCAGCTTGCCGGAACTCGGCTTCCCCGTTGGCCTCTGATGCATATATGTGCTGTCTCACAAGTCAGTGCCCCAACTGCTGTGTCTGCTGGTAAGTCCCAGGAGATACTCCAGAAGAGCCATCCGTTGAGATTTGTGACTCTCTACAGAGCAAAGACACTCTTGCTGGCAACTGCCAGTACCCTCCAGGAAGACTTACTTAACTCACATTGTTTACCAACCTATAAACTTGTAATGAGCTGGAACAGCTACCTACCAAAAATTACCTGGCAAGAATCCAAAATATCTTTTAGGCCTCTTTAGACTAGAGAAGAGCTGAGACTTGCTGATGATCTGATTAGTACGCCCACATGACTGAGTTCTGGAAAGAAGTGATGTAGTTTGAGCTGGGTGCTATTTCCACTAGGCTGTAGCTCAGACTTCTGGACTAGGATGCTTCTACCATATACTTGTTCTGTGAGAGAGATGTATAGTGCTCAATTACAAATATATATATTAATTGCATTTTGGGGATACTATTTAATTATGATTCTTTGCATCCCTGGGGAGGAGGTGGTCTAGCAAGTAAGTGTTATCTTCATCTCGAGAGAAAGAAGCTTTGATAATGAGGGCAACTAGCCTGACCTTGTTCATAACAGAAGGCTTTGGTAGAATCCCTTCAGACCACGTGGCTTTTTATTATTTGGCTGTAACTTTTTTCAAGTCCTATTACAATATTTGTTTGTTTCGTTTTGGGTTTTTTTAAATAAAAAAAGTAGAGTAGGATTTTCAAGATATTTCCAAGGGAGGAGGGAGTGGACTGTATTTACAGTGGAGAAGAAATAAAAGGTGGTTACATTATCTTTTTCTTTGTGTGTGTTTATTAAAAAAAAAAATTGGTCAGAAGTCAAAACAATCTTTTGAATGATCTGAATGAAAGCAGGGAGTTCTGATGTCTTCAGAAAACTCATTATCTTGTTTCATGTATTCTGGGTAAGATTTCAGGGATCAAATTGTCTATTTTTTAACCCAGAGAATAATGAGGACATATAGCTGCCTGATTTCTGAAGGAGGCTTGCATGATTTGAAAAGTAAGTAACTATTTAAGTCATGGATGGACTGGTCTTTTGATGTTCATGAAATCAATCTCTTTTCTGAAGGAATTCCGTCCTGTGCTGACATTCTCCCTTTTTGCTTGCAGGAGGGTGTTGATGAGACGGGTATTTGACACGTGGTTGCTGAAGGCATGCAAGCAGCAAGAATACCGGATGGGAGAGGAGAGGGTAAACGTAACTCTTCTACCTGGCCTTGCTTAGGAAATAGAGGGGATGATTTCTTAGTCACAGTCTGTGAACATCAGTTACTGTGAGATGGAGTTGTGTTGTAAATTCCCTTTTCCCTGTTGGAGGATCAAGTCAGGGGAAACAGATTACAACTGATATTTACTAATCACCTTTTTTTTAAGTTAAGCTATTTATTAATAATAGAATCAAGCTGTTACTGTTAGAGGATAACTATTCACACAGTTCATTATTCCCTCACCCAATAAATATGTATGTACTCTGTCTGTTTCATAGTTACCTGGTTGAAACAGTAATAGCAATAAAGAGCCAACCCCAACCTGCCTAAGAAGTGCAGGGTTGTCCTGACAAACTACTTGCTGCTAGGTGGGTGTCCATAAAGTCCCTGAAGAGGTCCTTCCTTTCCTAAGATATAGATAGATAGATAGATAATCCTGTAGTCTTTGTATATAGCAGCTGCTGCCGCCTTTTATGTGGTCTGGGTTACACAACTTGTAGTTGATGATAGCGTGTGTGGTGGCCTTGTGCAGATATGGCTGACTCTTGCTGTTCTGAGATTATCGGTCCTTGCAAATTCAACAGGACTGGTTTCTGGAGCTTATCGGTTCTTGGGAGTCTTTCACATGCTGCTTATCAGCTTGTATTTTTTCTCTTTGGCCTGCTGTTTTCTGGTAACAGTTTCTCCGTCCGCATGCATGCAGGTACCTGTAGAACACGTTCACATGAACTCACAGCAAAGGGACTTTGATGACATATGTCCTTTGCTGTTCAACATGAGAAGAGGAGCACAACCACTGGACAGTTCTGTGCATGTCACCTTTAAGGAAATGTCTTCTGTTGTCTGTAACTGGCCTGTGTCATGGCTTCATTGCCACCTTCTTTCCATCATAGGCTGTACTTCATTTTGAAAGGCAACTGTTGCGTTGTTTCTGGCGCTTCTGGCGTAGAAGAACATCTGTGCGTTTGGAGGAGCAGGAGGGCTTAGTTCATGCAAGAGATCACTACAGTAACCTGCTGCTGCTAAAGACTTTCTGTCTGTGGAAGCAAAATACTCAGGACAGAAGAACAGAGTAAGAAGATTTTTAAAAGGGAGAATTATTTGGATTGGCCCTGTGGTAGTCTACTTGTGACAAAGCAGCATTCAATTCACAATGACTCTGACTCATTTGTGCTTTACAATCTACTGGTTTGTCTTTCGCTCAGTAAATGACTTGCTGAACATAGCAAGTGTGGACTCATGTCTGTGCTAGAGGGCTTCAGTAACATGGATTGCATTGCAGGAGAAATAATGAAATTATTTTTCCTACAGGAGGCTCAAGGAGATGCAAGCCTTAAGATTTCACCATTCAAAGTGTCTGCAGCAGTCTTGGAACAAGTGGAGGGAGGTGAGAGTGTTAACAGATGGGGAACAGCTTGAATCCTTGTTGTTATGTTCAGATTGCTTGTACCCATATGACTACAAATTAAATTGTTTATTTTAAACACTAGACATTCCTAAGATGTCCTCCCTTTCCAGGCGGGTAAAACCAGTTCACTGTGGGCAGAACAGGAATTGTGTAGGGAGGAAGGGGGGGAGTTCTTTCACTTCTTGTTCACTTGTTCAGGTGTAGTGAGGATGGGACTGTTGCTTAGGAGATTTGTCTGGGAACGTAACCAGAACTGGTGTGGTCAGACTGTCCCTAGTCAATGCTGTCTTCGCCCTTCTTAGACCTTCTTAAGGTTGGAAGTTTGCAGCAAGGCCATGGTGTATGGTCTGTAGTTGTGTGCAGGTCATAGCAGGCCCGATTAGATGACATTTCACTTTTATGCCGGGCCTTTTCCTTGCCATGACATCATTTACCAAACGTGCCTTGCAGCATGTCTTGAGAACCTGTGAGAAATTTTAAAGTTGACGCTAGTCCTTTGGTTTGGAACTGTTACCTTGAGTGAGTTGTGTTGATCTTCAAGAAGATTCCTAAAAAGGGCAGGGAAAAAAAAGTGCCTCAGCTAGGCCTTTTGGAGGAACAGCAGAGTGCAGCACCAGTTTGAATGAGAACCTATTACAGCAAGATAAAAGATTGATGTTTCACCAGAGACTGAGAATGGTCCTTTTCCTTCTGCTCTCTGCTATTGCCTGGTTTTCCTCCATCACGTGTACATATCTTTATTTTTTTCTTTTCTGTTTTCTTCCCTCCTCATAGTATGTGGGACATCAACGTGAGAAATGGAGGAAGTTGGTGCAAGCAGACATGCACTATCAGCACACATTACTGGGCAAGATCTTGGCAGCCTGGAAGGTAGGAGGGAAGGTCCTTTTCTTTGTGGGACTTGGCTGTGTGTGCTTAAATGCGTCAGGGTGAACTGAAGAGCTGCCACACTGGCTCCAGCGCTTACATGCTGAGCGTGGAAGGCAGAATGGAGGCTGTTAGAGATAGGGTGGTATGAGCTCTAGCATTGCTTTTTGGAGCAAAAGAACCAACGTAATCTTGTGGCTTTGGTGAAGGGTGTGTAATAGCTAGCAATAGCTAGTGTGTAATGACTGTTCGTGTTGGAAAATCAGCATTCGATTTCAGTGGCTGGAACCTCAGGTTTTTTCCTATACTGTGCTGCTGCTACCACTCTACTGAGCTGCTATGAGGAGTTTCCAGGTGTCTCCTCTCCTCAGAGATGCAGACAGTTGAGGGAAACTTTACTTCTTGCTGCTTTTTTTGCAGAGTTACCAACATAACATACAGTGCATTCTATACCAAGTAGCTGAGAAGGAGAAATGGCACACTAGACTGCTGCTGAGGTAAGTGCGTGTTTCCTTGTGCAGCAGGAGGGAGACGTGACTGCACTGCAGGCATTTTTTTTTTTTTTTTTTTTTCTTTCTCTGCCACTGTGTAAATTTTGGAGTGTTCAGTGCTGGGAATTGACTCTGCCGTGCATTGCTATTTCTGCGCAGGTCATCTAGCTGAAAGAAGTCTACCTCTTTCTGGATTGCCATCTGTTTTGCCATCACTTTTTTTTAATCTGTGTTTAGTCCTCTGAGAGACACCAGACAGCACAGTGTATCGTTCCCTGCAGTGCAGGAATTCTGACTGCTGTGATTTTAAAGCAGTCTGGAAGATGTAGAGGCTGTCTTGCATTATGGTGAGGAGAGCGAATAAAGATAATATCCCTTTGTATTGGTTCTAGTTGCTTTAGTTTATCTACCTCATTTGTTTTTATGCTGTGCAACTGGAGTTGCTTGCAGAGCCTGACCGACTGAACTGAAGATGCTGGATTTGAGGGTGTGCTCTGTTTTGCACTGCCCTCTCTTCAGCAGAGGCCTGAAGGGGCAGAAGTTGATTTGCAAGACAGAGTTTATAGAGGCAGCTGGTTTTGATTCTCCTGTGAGTGGGGAGGTACTAGATGAACAAGTGAGAATCATTCTCAATGTGTTTTGTTTGGTGTTTTTTTTAGTTTTTTGTATTTTTTTCCTTCAGACAGCTTCTGTGTACATGGAGAGAAAATGCCCTTGCTCTTATACATGAAGCTAAGGCAACTACTCGGGCAGATGAGCACTACAGGCGAGCAATCCTGTCAAAGGTAGGGTCTGCGTAGTGGATACCAAGGTCTAAGTACAGACGCTAGTTCAGGCAGGGGTCAGGGAATGCCACTAAAAGGACCAAAAACTTCATCTAAGAGCCGCGACTAAGAAAGGCCTAAAAAGTGGGAGTCCCATCTTCTTTTTACACACATCTTTGAAACTTTTGTCTCCGAGTGAGCTCGTGGTTTTTCCTCTTCCTTTGTTTCTTCCCATTTCCTAGAAGGAAGGGAAAACCAGTAGTGTGATACAGCATAGTACAGGGGAGTGGAGGCGGGCGGGTGGACAGACGCACGGAGGGATAGAAAAGAAGAATGCCTTAAATGCCCGAGGGAGCCTCTGAAATACTGTTGTATTTAATTTGTAGGAAAGCTGCACTGGCTTACTGTGCCTTACGTGAAAAATGAGGTGGAAATGGTCACGGTGCCAGCAGTGTGGAGTACATTGCTCCCCTTCCAAAGAGCATTGCAGTGTCAGTCTGTGTCCTGTCTCTTGTCTGCGTTCTATCTTTAGGTGTTGCTGCAGTGGAGAGACGCCGCCTCGCTACAAGTGCATCGCCGTCAGCAGCAGATGACAGCTGTGACAGAGGCCAGAAAACATTTGGATATGGGTGAGCTGGTGGAGATTCTGAACTCCCAAATGACTTGGTTATCTGTGTATGATCCTTAGAAAGACATGGCTCAGTAGGGCAGTCTGTCGTGTCATCTGTACAGATGAAATGACTGAGTGGTCTATTAAGCCTACAAAGGGTGTCCCCATAGAATGGGAAATGACTTTGGACCCCAGTGACCTGCTGAAGGCTTCTGGTATAACTTTCACTTCTCTGTTGGTTCCTTGTCTGCAGAAGGGATGGTAACACTTCCTTCCTCAAAGAAATTTTCTGTTACTAATTTTGAGCAGCTCAGACATGTCCATTTTGAGAGCAGTGCAAGTAATCTTATCAATTACTGCTTCACTCTTTCTTTAGTAATTCATACAGAAAGGCCCTCAAACTCTGCAGGCATTTTCGTGGTACCAGCCACATTCTTGACACGAGGACTCGGAAGCACCAAGAAGGCAAATAATTGCCTAAAGATTATAAAGAATGTTGATGGCAGCAGTTGATGGCAATACTTACCATTCATGCCTCACTGTCCATCACCTGAAGTGTTTCACAATCCTTTCTCCTAGTGCTGACTGTTGTTGATGTTAAAGTATTGTTAAAGCAGTCTGGAAGAGTAGCTGGTGGTGTGATACTCTCCAAGGTACATAGTTTCCTTTTGGTACATCAGTTAATTTATCTTCTCCTAACAGTCCATTTGCAGACCCTGTTTCTTCACTGGAAGGAATTAACTCGGGAGTCCCTAATGCTGAGGGCTCAGCAGCGCAGGGCAGTACAGCACCACCGGCAGCACCTTCTCCAGAAGTACCTGGTGAGATGGAAGAAGCATCATCAGCGGTGCCTTGGGAAAATGGTGAGAAGGATCAGCAACCTCACCCACCAGCAACCCAGGGTGGGGAGTTGTGGGTGGGGAGGAGCAGGCGAGGTCCCCTGGTGAAGGGAACGGTAGTCTTGGCTGAGGAGCAGCATGACAGCCTTCTGCATTGAGGAGAAAGGAACATGCCTGTGTCTTGCCTGAGGAAGCTTTGATAGAACTAATAGGCATAACAAGAGATGACAAGCTGGCTTGCCATGTGGGATCATTTACTGTTAATGAAATCCTTGCTGAGCTCCTAGATATTTGCAAATAGGGTTACGCTGCAGGGCACTTAGATGTTGAGGGTGGCCTCAACGGAACGAAGGGAAGGTAATGAAGGCTGTTTGGTACCTGTTCTGCTCTAGTATCATTTGGCTCAGATCAGTGGGGTTTGTCTGCAAGTGACTCACTGTTTTGGTTGCCTTACAGCTACTACAGAGACAGGGAGACCAGCTAATGACTCATAGACTTTGCTCTGCTGCTTTCTCTTGCTGGAAGACACGGGTAAGGAATTGCCCCCTGGGTAGGTGTCTAGCTGCTTGCTGATCCTTACCCATTCTTCTACGTCATTTTCCATTTACACTTGAGGACCACAAAAATTTATTTAAACATTTTCTGGATTTCGGTTCCACAAGCGCAAGAGACACCTTGCCAATATACTGGCTGCACCGAGTAGGTTATTCGGCTCTGGCTTCACCAGCACTTCCTGTTTGGTTGATGCTCTGGCTAGCGTTTCTGCTGTGGGATGTGTAAACTCCTGACCTGGTTGCTGTGCAGTTTCTGGTCCCTTTCATTGCAGAGAAAGGTAGGCGTGTGTGGGTGGCAGGGGCAGGCAGGTGAATTTGCAGATGTGCAGATTTGATTGCAATCAGCAGAGTGCACACTGAATATCCGTTTCCTTTCATATTTGGGGTGCTATTTGTTATTTTAGGATGCTGGAAAACTGTCCTTAAATCCTCTTATCCGATTAAAAAATTTGCACATGTTTTTCCCCATCCAGCCTCAGCTGACTTAAATCCCTGTCCCTTTGTCCTTGTGGTGGTAGCATCCTGCTGTTGCTGTAGCTCTGCCTGTTACTGTCTCGTGGAAGTGGGGGCAGTCCCTGGCCCGGAGCCTGCCTTTGCAGCGCTCACAGCTATCTGTTGTTCGTGTTGTAGGTATTTGGTGCTTGGCTCAGATTTGCAAAGGGGCAACAGCAGAAGAAAGATCGCATTGAAAAAGCCACGGGAGTTTACTACGCTGCTCCTCTGAGAGAAGGTGTAACCCGGGTCCTGAGAAACACCGCTGGCACAAAACAGTTGCAGGGACAGCTCCAAGCCCAGCGCCAGCTAAAGGTGAAAGAGATGGGCGATTGCTCAGATACACAGAGCAGATCAGAGCAGACCAGTCCTGGATGTATGTGTGTATCTTGGAGCCCTACATCTCGGCTCTTGTTTGGATCTGTCATATACTTTTGTCCGTGGTTCAAAGGAAAACACCCTGTCCTTTCTCGCAGCTGAGGCTAGAGCACTTCAGACTTGTGTTGCTAATTGAGAACCTTTCTTAGTGAGGTTATTTCAAAACTGGGCAATTCCTACAATAGACAACATAGCTGGATGAAACCTTTGCTTGTGGTTAGTCTCTAAATTCTGTGCTAGTGTGAAGCAGTAGAGCCTGCACGTCATCTGTCTTAGATTAAGCACCACTTACACCTTCAGATGTGGGCTAGTGTCACTTCCGCATTTGAGTATCAGCCCAGCCCTGTGTGCAGAAAAGGCGACAGGGATGCCCGTAGGGTTGCTCTCTTCCTGCGCCTGGGCAGCTTTCCCAGCTCTTTTCCAGGTTTTCAAGATGCTGTGTTTCGTTTGCTAATGTATAGCCTTGCCTTATTGCAGAAGTACCTAGTTAATTCTCCTGACCCAAATGTAACCACAGTGGGCCTGCTAATTTAGCTTAGAGAGCTGGTACAGCTGTGAGGTCACCGGAAATCTCAGTTCCTTTCTGCAGTGCTGTCCTGCCTGGGTGACATGGTGTTGCTTCCTACTCTCAGCCATCAAATGCTCCACTACCCTTTGTGTTGGCAGGCAGCCTACAGCCTTCACCAGTCTGTGCGTCGTTGTGCCATGCTGTGGAAACAGAAGGCTCTCTCCAAGAAATTAAGTAAGCCTGGTTCTTTTCTGCCACCTCTGGAGAAGCAAGTGACATTTAAAATGCCTGGTGTTAGCCCTGAGACAAGAGGACATTCAGCAGAGGAAGAGCCATGGCCTTCACAATGCAGTCATCTACCGTGTCGTCTTGCTGATGGGAACTCAGTTCCCAGGGATCTGTGAGTGTGAAGTTCTAGTTCCTCCTGCGTTTCTTTGGTGTATATGTGGTCTGCCTGTCTCTCTCGTTTTTGTATTGCCAGGCTTTCACACCGATGACTGTTAGTTCCATGCAGTTTCCCTAATTCTCTCTCTGACCCTGCATGGTGTGGCTGGCGTTGCAGAGTTGTTGCAGAGTTGTAGCAGAGCTGCTGCATAGTGTGCACATCAGCCCACGAATAATGAAAGAATTTGAGACTGTGTACTTGCTTATCAGCAACGGGTAGAATCAGCTCAGCTGTGTACTTGCCACTATGTATTTCTCAGTGTACAGCTATGAATTCGTGGAGCGTTGGTCATCTGTCATAGGAACGGTTACACCGAGAAACCTTTGAAAGATGTGTGTGATGGGACTTCTGCCATCATGAGAGCTTGTCTCGCCCAAGTGACCTAGAGCTGTCACTGAAGCTCTTTTCTTTTTTACTGAACTCATATATAGGACCTGTTGAAATGATGGACATCAAGATCCTGGCTGTGTAGAAACTGAACTTTCTTCTTGCCCCTTTCTTTCCCCTGAGGGTGCTATTCCTTAAAAAATTCGTACTGATCCTGGGGCAATTGTAAGGAAGAATCTTCTGTGAAGCTTCTCAGTCCAGGCCAGGAGCATTACAGGGAAATAGGGTGGGTGATGGCTTCACATCTCTGTAAGCTGGCACACGCTGCCAGAATTACTTCTGCCTTGTTTGGTTCTATCCCTTCCACCACTCCTCGTGTTGGCACAGTCATTCATGTGGTGAACCAGACTGCGACATTAATACAGGTTGAAATTCAATCTTTAAAAATTATTATTGCATGCAAGGGGAATGTTGCAGAGCAGGGATGAATGATGAGATAGAACTGCTACAATGCCAGCTTATGCCAATTTAAAATAATCTTGAATCTGGGGCATTATTGGTTCTTGTTCTTTTCAGAAATACTATTCGACGAGCGAGGTTACCACTGCGGAGGCCAAACTTCCTGCTGGAATCTGTACAAAGCAAGGAACTGCTGGGAACTCCTTTTACTAGGTGGAAAATCGTTTTTAAAAGTGGAGAAAAAGAGGGCGACTTGCAGCAGGTCTTACGCTATGGTTATCCCCTCAACCCCCCGTACCTTCATAGTGCAAAGCATTCAGTGATTATTGGACTGTGCATTGCTCTATGCTATCCAAAGGCCACGGTGACCTTAAATTTCAGGCTTCTTATATGAAGCAGACAAGAGTAATGGAACTTTCAAGTTAATTAAATAGCAACCAAGACCTTTGTTTCATTAGTGAGAGATTTTGAGGGAAAGATAAAGCACATCACTTATTTCCAAAAGTAATGGGCTTAGTTAATAAGTGACGTTTCCTTTTCCGTCAGTCTTGCGGCATAAACTCAGAAGTTTGAGTTGTGCGGGGATGCTTTTTGGCTCCTAGATCCTATTTGTTCCACAGCAGGTTTGGGTCTGGATTTAACTGATCTACTGGGGAATCGTTAATGATTCTGGTAATGCAGAGCCAGAACGGAGTGTTTGTCTTTGTCTTGGCTGAATCAGCTTTGCTGCTCTAGGAGGAGCTACTTTTTTATTTTTACTTTCCCCAAAAGGTCTCTGCCGCTGAAATTGTTCAGCTAAGCAGTGGTTTCACTGCCTTGAGTCTTCTGCACTTGTTTTAGTTGTGGTATTGCTTCTTAGCCCTGAGAGTGAGGGACCTGAAACTGCTTTTAAGCAGATACTTAGACTGAACTTTTTTGGTGAAACTGTTCTGTAATTAGCTTTAGAGAAGGGAAGTATCTCAATTTTGGGTCAAAACTCATCTGAGATTGCTGCTTCTGCTCCCCTCTTTTGTCCCCAAACCAAAATAAGGCAGAATTTTGTTAATGGGTTGAATTCACAGCTCTAAAGAAACTGGTTTATCCTGCATTCATGTGGAGGATTTGGAGCAGGGCAGGTAGGAGGGATGGAAACTTCAACTGCTTTGCCGCTTTTTTGTGTTTTTTGTTTTGTTTTGGTTTGGTTTTTTTTAATGATTGTGGTGTTTTTCCAATTTTTTAAAATTTTATTTTTAATTGGGGTTTCCTCTGCATAGTAAAGCAGCTAACTGAAAAGCTGTTTGCAAGGGAATAAGAAGATTCTCCCTTTTTTTTTTTTTTTTTTTTCACCGACTGCAAAGGACAAGACCAACAGGTTGCAGTGTACAGGGACCTCATCCTTCTTCCTTTACAGGTCAGAGGCACCCTCTGGGCAAACACCTGTGACCCAACCTTCTGCACAGGCTGGGAACTTAATGCCAACACCCCGCACGGACGAAAGCACCTGTCAGAGTCTTTCTCACGTGGGCAATACCGCTCCTTCCTGCCTGTCTCTCAGACACGCTGCCCTCCCGCCCGTACCGCTGTGGACACGTGATGTGCGCCGTGCCGTTCAGAGGCTACAGCTATGGTCTCCGTCATCTTTCGTGCCTCCAATGAACGCTGGAGCAGAAACGGTGAGCGTATTGCTGAGGGCAAAATCAGTGTGCTGACTGGGCAGTAGGTCAGCATGTGTGCTGCTTTCTTATTCTAGCTGTCACCTTAAACACTGTCGATGTTAACTGGCTCTGAACGTCCAAGAACTGCTTACCGCCAGCCTGCAGCAGCATTTCACTAGCTGACCAGTCCACATCTGTGTTGTACTGTAATTCATGCCTTTTTCTTCCTGCTTTTGTGTCCTTCCTAGCAGGATGCTTTTCCTATAAGTTGACTTGAGAGTGTTGCTCCTTCCAGGAGTTCAGAACAGTTAGTTTGCCAGCCAAATTCCAGGGATTTAAGAGTAACTCAGTTTAGTAGCAGTGGCTGTGGCTGAGTCTCAAAAATCGAGATTCGTTTCACTTGCAAGTAAGTGCTTGCATTTTAAACTCCTCTGTTCCACACAGAAAGGAAAATGTTAATTTTTATGAAATATCTTCATGCTAGAAACAAAAAGACCTAATTTCTTAAGCTCTGCTTCTTATGTGGTATTTTGAGAGGGGCTGAGTGACTACAGGGGATATCTGGATGGGAGCAGGGCTTAGTAGGTCAGGTGTGTTCTGCTTGTCGGGCTTACTCAAGAAAACCCTTTCAGGAAAAAACCATTATCATTCTGACCTTGCAGAGAGGAGGTCAGCTTGTCAGTGGTCACAAAGGAGCCCATTCCCAAGAGCCTCAGTGGGACTCTCTGGAGAAGCTGCGACCAAACTTGCAGCCACGCCTGCTGTCACCTGAAGACTTGGCGGGAAAATGGGGTCATCAGGCTGCAGGTAGGCCCTCAGCTACACAACTGTAGCGGTTGTGTGTCCTCCTCCAATGCATGCAAGACTGCAGGTCAACTCCACAAAATGGGAGGGAAACAAGGCAGTCTTCTACACCTGCATCAGGAGGTGAAGAGTATCAGTCGTTCCTTTGCAGGATGGTAATACAGTTTTGTGGACTTGGCTGAATCAGGCGGCTGAAGCCCTGTTCTGGGGACTGAAGGGTGGGAACTGCGAGGGGTTGGCTTCTTTTAGCAAGAAGGTGCTCAAGTGCTGGGGCATTCATGTACGCAAGGCTGAATGCACAGCAGAACTTGCTTCAGGAGGGAAGAATTCACCCAGTAAGGTTCTCCAGGTTTTCTTTGTGCTTACAGTGTGGTTGTAAAGGGGACGGATGCTGTCTAAGCACCTCTCATGATGATATATGGGCATGGAATATATGGGTTTAATGATAGAAGGGCATGAAATCTGTGTTCCACGGGACTACACTCACTACATATTTACTTCTAGAGTAGATGTAAACCACTCGATCATGAATAGACCAAAACAGCATTTGTAGTACTAAGCTGTTCACTAGAGCATTTCTTACCTTTTTTTATGTGTGTAAACTGAGTCTTCAGAGCTTGTAATGCTGTCGGACTCCTGCCCTCTCACTGCACTTGAGCTTTTGAGTGAATAGGTACCTGTCACAGGGTGACAAAGCGTGTGAAAAGGACTCGGGAGGGTTCCATGTGTCCCGTCTGCTAACCTGACTTCCCTTGGTAAGAAGAAACAGCTTCCATTGCTTGTGCCTTGTATCTTCCATTCAGCTGAAAGGGAACAAAGGGAGCACAGTTCCAGAGAAGAAATGGCATTACAGAGAAAGCTGGAAGTTGAACTCCGACACATCCAACAGCAGATGCAGTACTACTTCAGCAGAAAGCAAGAACTCAAGTACGTTGAGAAGCCTCTGTAGCCAGCCCTTCTTCATGCTGTCAGCTCAACACTGTGTTTTTTGTGTGTATCTACTTTGAAAGTAACCAGTCTGTTCACAGCAGATCTGTGAATGAAACAGAGAAAAGTTCTGGACATTTTTATTTTCTCCTTTTAAGAGTTCACTCCAGGTGGGAGAGAGTACATGTGCAACTTCTTTTGTAGTCATCAGGTGGTTTAATTACACCTCTGGCAGCTACTGGAGAAAGCACAACAGAGGTATCATTGGGTGTAGTCTGAAGGCAGTACAAATGAAGTTGGCAGAGCAACTGAAATGCAGCTTTTAGTTCTTTTATCATGAGGAGTGAAGACTTAGCTTTTCCAGCTGTCAATTAAAAAAAATTATACAGCTGGGGTTTGACAACTTCTCTGCTAGAACAAGCAGAAATTCACAAATGTGCTTAAAAGAAAAATGGGGCTTAGAGGGGATTCAACGGTCAAGAAAGGAAGAAGTCAGGAACTAGCAGTAGGTAATGGAGATGACACCTTTCAGGCAGATTTCTCTGCTTTCCAGCTTCCTTCCTTTCTTTCTTTTGCTGAAGACTTCTGTCATTGTCTGGTTTGAGACAAAAAATTGGGTCTTATTGCAAGTATCAATTGCAAGTCTTAAGTTGGCTTAAACTGTTGAGCTGCTAATTGGGATACGAATCCTTCTAATCCATTTTACCAGGTCCTGTCAGCAGCAGGCACAGATTCTGCGGAAGTGGCTAGAAACGAGCACACAACCAGAGGCCCAAGCTGCTGTACGAGGAGTTCAGGAAGAACTGGATCAGGTGAGTAAATAGCAAGCACACGAAGTTCCTTAGCTGATTATCACTATGCTATGCCCTTAGCCTGAAGGCAGGTGTGAGGAATTCCATAGTAAGCTGCTGTTAGAATGCTAAGAGAAAGGAAACTTGTGACAGAGGTGGGCTGTCGAGCAGAACAGACTGCTGTGTAGATGCAGCTCGCTATGTAGCAGGCTTTAGTAGCTTCAGCGTCCGTTTTTTTCTGTGATTCCTCAGGACAGCGTGGCTACACTACGCTGGCTGGCTCTGCATTGCTCTCAGTCCCCAGCTTCATCCAGCTCTGTGTGCGGGCACGGCCCTGTTACCTCTAAAGCCAGCCAGTACTTGGCTGTTCCTGAGTCACACGGTCCTGTCACTTAGTGGTTCTGAAGCAGGATAATGTAAAGGCTGCTCGGGATAACGTAAAGGCTGCTTGAGCTCGTTCGCTCTTCCTCTGTCAAAAGACTAACTGCTGTCTTGCTGTGCGAACCGCTTATGCCGTTGTCTTCCCTTCCAGCTGCAGGCGAGGATCAACACTCTCACCAGAGCACAACTGAGGGAGCGGCAGCAGGTGCAGAACCTGGTTGCGCGCCTGCGTGATATCCAGATTGCTCTGGATATATAAGGCATCTGAACCGACTTTCCAGCTCAGGGGTAGGACTTTTTGTCCCTTTTGGAGCAGAGGAGGAGGGAAGAGATGTGTATGTTCTCTTAGTCTCTGTATGGCATTTCTATTTAATAAATTATCTTAAATATTTTTGCTTATTTTGTTACTACACCTGGTTCAAAAGCAAAGTAAACGAGCTAAACCTACCTCATATTGCACTCACCTAGTTTAGGTTACCCTGACATTTCAGAAAGATAAGCAACACTGATAAGACTCTTTATTTCAAAATGTTTGCAATTAAATGAGTTAATGTCAGTAAGTCAATACACTTTGACATACAAAAATACCGTGCTACTGATACAGTTGAAGGATTAAATGGATTCTCCCTGCAGGAGAAATTCACAGCATTATCAGTACTCTCTAGGAACTTTGCTTTCCCTTCCAGGGCGCGTTGCTGACCACTGCGTAACAAGTCATGGTTGTTAATCAGCTAGCTCTGTGCAGTATGACGACCATCTCAAAAACAGCCACTTGCATGCTGAATCCTCTCCTCCTTGTTAGATTTCTAATAAAGCAAACATCAGGTAACCCAGCCTCCATTAACAGGCTTAACAGTAACCTCAGATACTGTGGAGGATGATGCTGAGTAGGAAGAAATTAAAGCTTAAAGTTGCTTTGGCTGTGTCTGGATGCAATAGGCCCCACTTGGAAGAGGGGGAAAGGATTCAGTTGGTTTTCTCTCTCATCCACTGGAACATATTTGCTTTCTACTGTTAACAGGATGCTGAAGTTGAGAAGAAGGGCTATCACAGCTGTATCTTCTTGGGGCTGATGTTTGCCGTAGTCTTTTCTCACTCTCGATGGTTTAAAAAAAATGCACATGCATAACCTCTATACGGTAATACACTGCTGCAGGAGTAAACTTGCTAATGCCAAGAAGTTGAACGAGATAGGTGGCTGAGAGCCACTTCAAGCTTTTAAACTCGTGTAGAGTGAGGAGACATTGACTCTCAGAGCCAAATGAATTTTCTCCTGCTTGTCACCCAAACAGCCACCATCATCTGAGTCAGGGCTGGGCTACATCACTTACGGGCAGTTTATCATCCCTTCTTTCCTAATGACAAGCTAAGCATACAAGACTTGGCAAACTGGACATCTGTACAACAAAATTATATTCTATTTTCTGCGGTGCATACAAAGAAGATTTTTTTTCTTTACAAAATCAGAGCTGGTCAAAGCCTACCATCTCCCTGAAGTAGCAGAAAAAACACCCAAGGCTCAAGCAAGGAAGTAACATGAGAAATCTTTTGGAGAGCAGAAAGGCAGGTTTCATAAGCGTGCCCACTCCAGCAAGCTTTGGACAGCAACGTCAGTTCTAAATGTTTGAGTGTCTGGACCCGAAACAGTTTATTCTCCAAAAACAATTAATACATTGCTTTAAAATTTAATTCCTCTTCCTTCACTTTGGCACCAGTTTCTGTCAGTGCCATATAGTGCCACAATCAGCAGATCCAAGGTGTTGGATTTTAACTCGTCTTGACATGAAGTTACAAAGAGGCTCTAAAGTTTTGCTGTAGGGTGAAGCTTCACCTAAGTTAAGTACGAGGGCAGAAGTCAGAGCAGGTGTGGCTTTTTTAATATTTTGGATAAGATGAAATTGTTGCCAGTCTATTACAGGAGGGCCAGGCTGGCACCTGGGAGGCAACTTGGGATTGCTTCAAAGATCCATATTTTTATACACAGTCAGTGCATAGGGCATTTCACTCCATGCAATAAAAATTGGTCTTGAAGTATCTGAAATTGTTCTGTAAGTAGAGCAATTAATTCTTTAAGATTTTAGTGACAAAGCAAAAATGAAGATACATAGCAGAAAGTAAAAATTTTTTTTTGGCTGCCATCTCATTGCATCACACAAGAAAAACATCCCCTGTGTCTTCCATCCCCTTAATCCAAGAGGTGAAGTAACTGTCTCTCATACAAACAGAATCTTTAAGGCTTGGAATAACAAAATAAAACCATGGATTAGAAAGAGGACACAGAGCGTTGTCTGCTATACATATATATATATATTAAAGAAAATCCCAAGATGACCAGTTTCATTGTATGGAATGTAGACATAGTGTTTTCAGGTTTAAAATACAGTGCAAAGTCTGTTTTTAAAGGGACAATGTCAGGTAAAAGAATTAAAGTTGTCTAATAGTAGAAAACCTGGATGAGCATTCGTAATTTATTGTACTGTTGCTGTCTGTTGTACTTTTCATTTAGTTTGGACTGTGAAGCTGTACTAGCCAGTTTAACCGCCTTCGCAGGCTGCCTTTATATAAGCACTTCAGCAGAGTGTCTTAGCATAAAATAAATATGAGAAAACATTCTTTACTCGAGGTCTGAAAAACAGATACTGCAGATATAAGGTACAAGGTCTGACTTAACCCGTCAATGTCCCTTTAAAAACAGCTCATCTCTACCTCTCTCCTTCCCCACTGCACCTGCACAGCCTAGGAAGGCTTAAAAGGGACTTACAGGCTCTAAGAACATAATTATCCTGTGGCACAGTGAGGGGAGAACATGAAAGACTACAGGCGCGGGGTGGGAGAGAAACCTCCATGGTCAGCGTCTGTAAAGGCAGCTGTACCTGATACACATACGGTCACTCAATTCGCTTTCTGCACTCCGCAGCATGTAAATATAGACCAAATGCTCTCAAGTTTAACATAGCAATCACATCTTCTGTTTGCCTCACCCAGGTCCTGCTGAGTGATGCACACTTGATAAGTGGAACACTCACTGGTGTGCTGAGAGTCCCTTTGTACAGAAACGCTTCTTGCCGAGAGAGTTTCTATAGAGAGCCCAGTGCTTCTCCGAAGCGGATTTTCTGTCCGGCTTTGAGGTGGAACTTGAAGTCCTTGGGTGCCTCAAAGATTAGTACGATCGTAGAGCCTAAGTTAAATTCCCCTAAATGTTCTCCTTTCCTCATAGGGATGCCCTCCTTGTTGTTGTTGGAGATGAAGCTGAAGTCATTGTAGGAACCTTTGGAGTAACGCGGACTGTTGGTATGCAGGTCCTGTACAGAGAAGGAAGAGACTGTTACTTGAGGGTTTTGGCACTCTGTCTTCATTAGCACAGCAGCAGACTGTGGATATCCAGGCATTTTCAATGCAGGAACGAACTTACAATTCAAAAGTGCAATAGGAATATTAAAAAAATAGTCTCTACTGGAGATGACTCCCTTTAAATCAGTCTTGGAACATCAATACTGTGAAACATCTTAATTTCAGGGTGATAAGACTTTATAAATTTTCTTGTGATTTTCTTTTATTATACTTTACCGATGTTAACCATCACAACCAGCAAGCTGCCGCCTGCTCTCTTGCTCACCTGGTCAAAGTAGATGCGGATAGAGCCCACATTTGTTGCTCCTACAGCGGTTAAAGAGAAAAAGCCGTGTTTCCAGTCACCTGTAAGGACAACCCGTTCATTGTGGCAGAACAGTTCCTTGATCCAGCGAGCAACTCCAGGATTCACAGACATCAGAGAGCCTGCAATAGTGAGAAAACATTCAAGCCAAGTTGTCTGTCTTGTTGCAGAAGGGTGCTTTCAGTTCTATCTAATAAGCACTTAAGCTCATCTAACAAAAGGCTACGGGCTACTAAAAGGAAGCTAAAGAAACTTTTTACAGCTTGGGAACAGGTTTTATTGGTTACCTATCCAGTGCACGAGAGCAGCCCCTTCCAGTTCTCTTCAGTAAATGCGTAAAAGTCGTTACTGAGACTGTGGCTGAAAACCAAGTAGCTATCTAGCTAGAGCTGACCACGAGATTCTAAGAACGTGAATCAGTTAAAAAAATGAGGTTGATTAGAGAAGAACCTCAAAGATTTAAATGCCTGCATAGTCCTTAAGTAGTTTAGTATGGTGTATACACTACACACATTTTTGGCAGTAAAATGCACCTGCTTTGCCTCACTGCGCCAACAGCAGCACTTCACTAAAACTCCTTTGCTTCTATCTGGAACTTGACAGATTTGTCAAACCTCATGGCAGGTCACTGTCTCTCCCTCATGGTGTTTGAAACCAAATCCAAGTACTTAGGTTTTTACTAGGTACCAAGAAGTAAAACATTTTTGTTATCTGCTGAATTACAGTATGATGATCTGCCAAGAGGAGGACAAAACCATCCGATCCCAGCTCCAGCAGCATAATGGTTTAGTTGCATCTTCTTTGCCACGCACAAGGAGAAAAGTCGTATTTTAGGCTGCTGTTTGCTCTGGTCTGCAGAACAGAACTATCTGTATTTCAGGTGTAAGCTGAACAAATCGTGTTTGGGAACGAGTCAGGTCAGCATGCATCAACAGTTATTTCAAAGAATTAACACAGCTTGAAGACAATATTATTGTTTTCACCATTTATATGTGATTTGTTCTGGTAAACTACACTACCATAAAATTCACTACCATTCGTGACAAATCGCTTCTCTCCCACTATCTATCACACGACTGCACAACTGCTCCCCTGACGTGTCCCATTCAGCAATGGCCCGTACCACTGCTTCCCTCCACAGCTGCTCTGCGTTCCTTTTCTAGGAGCAGAAACCTACCTGGGAAATGACGTCGGTGGGACACTCTCCAGTCAGTGGGTGAGTGGAAGCAGTGATAATCCCCTGGTGCAAGGTAGATTACGCAGTGATAGAGCTCATTCCCCTCCTTTGTGACTAGTTGTTGCTGAAAAGAGTTACCAGGTGGGGCTGCAAAGAAACCACGGGAAGAAAGGGGGTGAAAATATTCTTCACAGTCACCTAGCATAGCCAAGCAGCCTGCGTTAGAATCAGTGGTAACAGCAGAGGACTAAATGCAGTCCACATGTATTACTGGGACTACAAGAAGATACACTTTGTCCAGGAATTCAGTATTTCAAAGTGTTGCTTTCCTTCTACAACAAAATTAGATCCTGTATTGTTTTAATCATTTTGCAAATTCCTCAGATTTGGTGTTTGCTTGTCCCTACATGGAAAAGCAGAAACTGAA